AGAATGAAGTGGGAGACAATATACATTTCAGAGATTAGCAAATCAGAACACGGGATTTGTCTTAGTCCTAGCTGGATAGAGTTACTCAATGTATGCTGTCATTGAATCTATGGTGAATGTGCTAACAAAACGTGGAAGAAAATAACAAAGTTCACCCTGTTGTTATCCTAAATCGCATATGCGTCTGTCCCATTGCCATTATTCTCTCATTTCATTAGTAGCAAACCCAACGACGTTTCTATTCAGTTTCTACATCTAAAATCATTTTAATCATTTAAAGGAAAATGCACAAAAAGACAAATTTTCAAATGAATGATTGTAGCTTTTACATCATCAATATATGTATCGTTTTTCTGTTTGTTTGTTTTAAAACGATTAACGAAATGAATAAATTTGATTAAAACACAAATATTTAATACCTGAGTTACTAAACACTCAGGATTTACTTGGTGTCACGTGATGCATGAACAGCCATAAATAACCACGAGAGCATTACAACACTTGCCATCGTTACAAGGTACGAGTTTGGTATATGCATGACGTCACATACATGTTAGACATATTGACTGTATTAGGTGGTAGCTATATATACTGTCAGGTATTCCGGGGAATTTTGTGCACTAAAGACACACCTTGGTCAATTCCCCGAGAAAGGGAGCGTCAGCTTATCTTTTCAGGAATTCAACGTTCGGGTGAACACAAGTAGAATGACTTTGATCACCCCGTTTATCTGTATATGCACTTGAAAGCATGCTTGCGTATGGATTTACTCCGTGCAGCGTTATATGAATGCAGGCCTGTCGTGAATCATGAACGACAGAGCATATTTAATCTTTATCAGCAAGCCATGAAACTTGCGGAAGCCTTCAAGGGTCATGTTTGTTTTATGGTGTGGTATATTTTCAATATAAATTTCAAGATACTAAGTTAAAATTTTAAGATATTTGATCTTGAAATTTCAAGTTAAAATTCTAGTTAGTATGTTGAAATTTCAACTTAATTACATTTCAAAATGAAATGGTCCTAAACGGCTTTCGTAATTCTCGTTTCTTCTTTTCATCAACATATTATCTTGAAAGTTAACCTATCTATCTTGAAAGTTCAGATTACACATCTTAAAATGTCTGAAAAAAATCAAAAATAACGAATGGCCCTTAGAGGCTTCCGTAGGCCGCAGTACCTCCGTATGAAAGAGTGGTTTAGTATGGCAAATATGTGAAGGCTTAATACTGCATGGAATGGTGAGAGATTCAACGCCGCTTGTAACATTATTTGTACATCACATTCATCTACAGTGGTTCCGAGGCGGTGGGGTAGCCCTGTGGTTAAAGCGTTCGCTCGCCACGCCGAAAACCAGGTTCGATTCCCCACGCATTTGGTCATACAAGAGAACATCGTGTTCCATAAATACACTAGGGCATGTTAGGTCATACAATAGAACAGTGTCTTTATTCAACACGCTAGTGAGGGTTAGGTCACATCTCCTTATTCGTTGTTGCATGCTATATTGACTTCTTTGATAAATACAACTTAAGTCAATGAACTTTCCAGATCGAATATATGTCATCTCTTTTTGACAAAAATAACATTCAATTTAGAAAGAGGTTTTGGATTGGAGAAGCAATGGTTGAGCGAGATGTACCAATGGTTTTAACATTCTTCTAACAATGTCCCTGCCTTGCGAAACCTGATTTCATGGATGCACGGTAAAGTTATAATGTCACTCCTCAGGAAGGTCACGATCAATTACCAATGGTAACACAGATCCGTATTTTATAGTGTACTGTGGAACTACCACGGTGCAAAGGGATCATCTTGCTGAGTGCGGCGTAATACTAAACTGACTTAAGGGAACATGGCAGTTGCAGAACATGAACCTATTAAGCATTTCAGTGATTACGTTTTGGTCCACATACCTACTACATACTGACGACGTTTACAATTCTGAAGATAATTGATCCGATTAATTGATTGATCTTCAGTAACCCATGGGGGCGGTGGGGTAGCCTAGTGGTTAAAGCGTTGGATCGTCACGACGAAGACCCGGGTTCGAATCCCCACAAGGGTACAATGTGTGAAGCCCATTTCTGCTGTTCCCCGCCGTGATGTTGCTGGAATATTGCTAAAAGCGGCGTCAAACCAAACTCGGTTAGTCAGTCAGTCAGTAACCCATGCTTGTCGTAGGAGGCGACTAACGGGATCGGGTGGATCATGCCCATGCTGTTGATTACTGGATTCTCTTGTCAAGGCTCAATTATGTACTGACGCTGCCATACAGCTGAAATATTGCTGAGTGCATGTGCTTTGGAAACATGCAGCATATGCTACTACTGGGGATTACACCTTCTCAGCAAAGAACATATTCTAGGTGAGGTGAGGTGAAATTGGGCTAACGTCGTGCTGGAGAATATTTCGCTCATATGACGACGTGCATGCGTGTGTATGTGTATGTGCGGCTGCTTGTACTAGCCCAGACTGAAGCCGGTTTTATAGTGCTAGCCCACTGAGATACCATGCTGCAGTGAAGCATGAATACCCCACTCAGACATACTGACTCCGAGCCGACGGCTACAGTGTACTGGTGTATGGATGGGTAGAGTTTACTGGTGAACTGAGGAGTAGTGTACTGATGTATGTAGGGTCAGTGTACTGGTGTTTTGAGGGGCACAGTGTACTGGTGTATGGAAGGAGCAGTGTCCTGGTAGGTGATGGTCCTAAAGGTTACTAGTACATGGAGGGGTACAGTGTAGTGGTAGTGACGAGGGTACAGGTTACTGGTGTATGGTAGTGTACAAATTACTGGTAGTGACGAGGGTACAGGTTACTGGTGTATGGAAGTGTACAAATTACTGGTAGTGACTGGGGTACAGGTTACTGGTGTATAGAAGTGTACAAATTACTGGTAGTGACGGGGGTACAGGTTACTGGTGTATGGAAGTGTACAAATTACTGGTAGTGACGGGGGTACAGGTTACTGGTGTATGGAAGTGTACAAATTACTGGTATATATCGGGGGTAGAGGTTACTGGTGTATGGAAGTGTACAGTGTACTGGTGTATATCAAGGGAGTACAAGTGTACTGGGGTGTAGTGGAGGGGTACAGTGTACTGGTGTATGGAAGTGTACAAATTACTGGTAGTGACGGGGTACAAGGTTACTGGTGTATGGAAGTGTACAAATTACTGGTAGTGACCGGGGTGCACGTTACTGGTGTATGGAAGTGTACAAATTACTGGTATATATCAAAGGGGTAGAGGTGTACTGGTGTATGGAGGGAGTAAAGTGTACTGACTGGTGTTTGGAGGGGTACAGTGTACTGGTGTATGGGAGGTAGAGTGTACTGGTGTAGAGTTGGAGGGTAGGGTGTACTGGTGTATGGAGGGGTACAGTGTGCTGGTGTATGGAGGGGTACAGTGTACTGGTGTATGGAGGGTACAGTGTACTGGTGTATGGAGGGGTACAGTGTACACTGGTGTATGGAGGGATACAGTGTACTGGTGTATGGAGGGGTACAGTGTACTGGTGTATGGAGGGTACAGTGTACTGGTGTATGGAGGGGTACAGTGTACTGGTGTATAGAGGGGTACAGTGTACTGGTGTATGGAGGGGTACAGTGTACTGGTGTATGGAGGGGTACAGTGTACTGGTGTATGGAGGGGTACAGTGTACTGGTGTATGGAGGGGTACAGTGTACTGGTGTATGGAGGAGTACAGTGTACAGGTGTATGGAGGGGTACAGTGTACTGGTATATGGAGGGTAGAAGTGTACTGGTGTATGGAGGGTACAGTGTACTGGTGTATGGAGGGTACAGTGTACTGGTGTGGAGGGGTACAGTGTACTACAGTGTATGGAGGTAGTAGTGTACCTGAGAGGTACAGTGTACTGGTGTATGGAGGGGTACAGTGTGTACTGGTGTATGGAGGGGTACAGTGTATTCACAATATCCCTCCATAGTCGTTCAGACATTCAGACTTCTTCAGCGCCTCTGAACAAATACATTGTAGAAATAGGCGCTTATATACATTCATTATTACTATCATTATTATAAGGGTTCCCAGCTTACCATTCCTTGTCTTGTCTCAATAATTGACGAAAGGCAAGGCAACAATAATTACCATTTCATTTTCACACGCTTTCACGGGAGTTACAATTGTCATTTGATCAACTTTCAGGACACCCTCCAGCCCTCCTCTGGATCCGCCTTGGAAGAAGCGACAGCATCTTGTGCCTACAGGTATAAGTAATTTTGAATAGTTGAATCTCTTGTAGTAGAATATTTGTTTTCGTTTTAAGTATGTATATCATAAGCATAAACTGATTAACGAACCAGCATTGGTTTGTTTTACATATTCGAAAGATGACTTTTGCTTTGTTTGTTTCGTTTCGATGTTGTTTAACGCAGCACTGAGCAATTATCAAGCTGTGTGATGGCGGTTTTGTAAATACATTAGTCTGGGCCGGACAATCCAGTTACTGACACTATGAGCATCGATCTACGCAACTGGGATATGATTTTAAATTCATTAGTTGCTTATCACTAGTGTTGGCTGCTAAAGCACAATTCTTCACGGGACTACTTATTTAACACGCTGCGAGTGTAATAACATTGACTGTATATCATTTATTGGACGAGGGCCTCCTTCAAAGACACTGTGCATGCGGTGGTGGGGATTAGGAGGATTGCCCGCAAGGTGGGGGGCATGGTGGTCGAGCTGTCTAAGCAGCCCGGTTAGTGATCCAGCCAGCATGAGGTGTCGGGATCGAACCCACATGTGACCGGGTGTAAAACCTTGGAGTCAACTTTGTGTGCAGACTCTTTCAGTGTTGTCACAACCCCTAGTGTACAGTACACAACCCTGTGCACTTAAAAGAACCCACGAATCCGTTGGTATATGACCAGATGGTGGCCACGTGAATACGTGCAAACACATAGGTACAGCAACGTGCAGTAAACCTGGACAAGGTACTGTGACTATGTGTCCCAGTTCACCCAGCTGTGAATGGGTACCTCGTAAGGATGGGAAAGCCGTAGTAACTCGGTGCGCCTAGTTGCTGCAAGAGTTAATATGATCCCGAGGGAGCTGAGATTGATAAAACGATGGGCCGTTGAGATTGACGTCCAATCATCGAGGAAAAAATACCAGCACCTTGAGCATGTACTAGTTGTGCGGATATTTACGCTGTATACATATCCTATAATAATAACTCTTTTTCGCTTATCTCTTTATTTCTTTTACGCTACTAGTCGGATGGGGCGCGAAGCTCTCCCTCAGTATAACCTATCAAGAGCATTATATCTGCATTCTGTTTCAACATGAATACACTCTGGCAACCCACCAACCCGTCCCCAGATACCCCCACCCAAATCCCCCCCTCACCCGTATGCTCCATTCCGTGTCAATAACGCAGGATTAAATTGTGTTACATACAGAACCAGTCTTCAGATATGAACGATGACAACCATTCTGTTCCTGTTAGGTGAGTATCACTTTCAGCTATCTTTAAAAATACATTAAGTAAATGTACTATTAAGAAACCCTTACCTTAAATTAAGATTCAAGCTTCTGAACGGTAACTACGTAGTTATGGTAAAATCAATGCAGATTTTGAGCCCCACGTCAACACGAATACAATGTTATCATTGTGCTATGTTCACTTTGAACAAGAACAGCATGTCGATGTAGAGCTCTCCTATCAAAACGAATATAGTGAAGCAAACATCAGACAAGTCAAAACACATGGATAAATAAAATATCTTAGAAATTTCCATGAAGACCCGAGGTCGGATGTGTTCCCAGCATGCAATTGCTAGTCGTTGAGTGCAACTAAATCGGCAATGTATACATATACATATATTTGTGACAACATCACGAACATACGTGGTGTAATACAACTTACGTAATTTATAGAGTGCTGTGATGGAAAATTCAAAGAAAACGTTTCCAAATTAAAACTGCATTAGATGTTTGATTGGCATTTTAGAAGATGCTATTAGATGAGCATACAGGCTATTCTGGATTTCATCTTCTTTTTATTGTTTGATACAGCGTTTCAGGGCTTTTTCTGGCCCCATCATCAGGTAGAACTCAGATGATAAAATTGTTCTACAGATCTTCGCATACATCTTTCTCTTGTTTGCATAAGGACTATGATGGAAGTTTTTAGACCATATTCGGGAATACAAAGTAAAATCCCGAACATATGCATACACACCTGGAATAAAATACAAAAGAACTTACTTAAGCACGCCCTGTATTTTTGCAGTGATAGGATTTCATCAAGTTCATGAAACTCGTGGTGATCACAATGGAAAAACATGTGTTTTTCTGATCTGTATGATCCTTTAACTCATAAAAGCTACAAAATGATTGGATTCCATGTTGATTTTTGATGATAATTGCTCATTTTAAAAATAAAACAAACAGTGATTTTCATACAAACCCATGTCTGTATGGCCCTGGATGATAATTGCTCATTTTGAACAAACTCTGATTTTCATACAAAACCATACAAGTACAAGCATGGCCCTGGAATGTTTAATGTTGACTGTATTGGTGAATGTGAACATTCTAAATGTCATGTTGCGTTTCTTACACGATTCAAGGTCAATACCGTTGGTAACCTCCATGTGACTGTATGACAGCCAGCACTCTCCGCCATCATATCCCCTGTCAACTTCCTGATTCTCTGATCGGGTTAGGATCAGGGGTTCATTCAATCGTGAGACATGTCCGGGGGTGCTTGATGTGGAATGTCCGATGCCAAATACGTTGTTGATGGCTGTTTCCTTTCAATATGCATCGAACTCTTCATCGTTATAACAATATAGCGGTTCTTTTAAATGGTGTCGATGATATGCTCTATGTTCCAGTACTTTTCATGTACCAATCGACCGCTGATTCCAACTGTCTTTGGGCCTGTTCTGAGTGTGTACCAGGGTGGTATGGCGTCCACTGTGACAAAAGATGTATTGGTGTTTGTGACAGTGGTGGCTGTCATAGGGACTCAGGAAAATGCCTACAGTGCCAGGGCGGCTACTACTCATCCAACTGCACACGTAAATGCCCGCTTCACTGCCGGGAGAACAATGACGGACATGCTCACTGTCATCGAGCGACAGCACACTGTTTAGAACATTGTGATGGATGGTGGGGAGATAGATGTGACCGAGCCTGTAGTGAAGGATGTGTGGACAGCTCGTGCTACTTCTGGGATGGGACCTGTAACAAGGGCTGCCGTCATGGAAGGACTGGTGACGACTGTGACACAAGATGTCCAAGCGGTTGCCGTCATAATGTATGTGAGCCATCTGGAAAAGGTAGATGTACCGAGGATGTAACCACGGCTTTCATGGGCATCACTGTGATCGACCCTGTGACAGCCGCTGTAGGGGCAGGGAATGTGTTTATGACCATGAAGTAAAGTCTGCAGTTTGTACTGAGGGGTGCGTCGACGGGTGGATGTCCTCCGACTGCCAGAAGAAGTGTCCACCCAACTGTCAGGCTTGTCTACAGGAGTCTGGACATTGTTCCCGATGTTCTCACGGTTACTGGGGTATGGACTGTGCCAATGAGTGTAGTTCCACGTGTTCTGAGAGGACATGTGATGAGGATGGGAGGTGCTTTGCATGTCAACCTGGTAACTATGGAAACACTTGTGACAGATACTGCGGGACTGATTGTACCATGTGCGAAATGAAGAACACAGACGGTGTATGTGATGACGTGTGCGCGGCGCTGTGTCTGAACAACTCAAATGGAACACGGGGTCTCCTTCTGCAGTCCAGACATGTGAGTTAATCCGATAAGTTGTTCTGACCGAATAAAAGGCAAAGCTATACTCCCATGCTATTAAACACGTAATTTCAACTCAATCCCAGGTCGTAAATACTTTGGTGTGATTTGATATCAAGTTACCCTTAATGATTACTCAACTCATAGACACTGCTGGAGATGTTTCTACTGCAACTGATATTTTCCTCATTACCTTTAATATAATCAAAATATATTGGAAAAATAAGCCATAAGGGAACGATATATTTGTGTGGCCATTTTGTTTGTTGGAGGCATACATATTTTTCAGCATTTCCTGAGCTCGGAATCTGCGATAATAAATAATTAATAGTCATTGCCATCTCGTGGATTAATGTATGTACCGTTGTTCTAAACTGATATTCAACTATGATCCTGAAACGCGGCACTTGTTTTTTCTTAGATGAGAGAAATACATCCGACAGATGTGGAGAAGAATTTCTGCTTCCTCTTGTCACGGTACTCTTCCTGAACATCTTTGTATTCATGATGTAAATGAAATGTTATTGAATTAAAGATGTCTTGTTTCTGGTCATCAGTGTGTCATTTGTTTGTTTGTTGTTTATCATCGAACAATGTGTTTATGTAGGTATAAAACAAATAAAACCGCGGCATGTCATGCTGAAAATAGTGATTTAAGTCTCTGGGTGGTGAGACTCAGCGACTGAGATGACAGGTGTCTTAGTTAGTTGGCGGAACAATGCTCATAATGTCAATCACAGGATTGTAAGTTTTGAGTCGCCTATTTGCTGGTAACCGTGATACAATTGGAATGTTACTTTGCGAGGAAACCCAACCACCAGCACGCACGTTGACCAAACCCCCATCCCCCTCGCCCGCGACCATCCCCTAACAACCATAAAAATCAGAAACATTGCAAAACAACAATACCACCCCTCCCACACACCCACACACCCACCCCCAAAGAAAACAAACACCGAAAAAACGGCAACCAACAAACATATGCAGACAACAAAACACTAGAATCATCCCCGCGCCAGAATGTTTATTCATTGACTGTAAAGAATCCGCTGAAGTTATACTCTCCAGTAGGTCGTGTTTGTGACCAGGAAGCTAGTCGATCGCGCACCTCACCTCTAACGTGGTCTGGCCTACTTTATCTATCTGGAGTTGGGTTTTGTATAAGTCATATAACTCACATCGCCCTTAACAAGAAATACTCACTGCAAAAAGGTTCAAGCAGAACAGGAAGTGTTTAAGGACGCGCTTATTTTTGGTTGGTGTATTTGTCTACAGAGGTTACTCGTGATCTTACAACGTGACTATGGGTCGCCGGGGTCTTGTCGATGGCCCCATATCCCATGACTCACAAGTGAGATACAATAGATGGGGAAGTTAAGAAGACCTGCTTCTCAAACACGCCTGAGACAGCTGTACGCACGAATGAGCAGTTCCTAGAAAATGTCTGTACATAACCGGAGATTCCTAACACCACCCCAGTGTCAATACAAATCGCGTGACTACCGTTTGAGCAAAAATGGATTGGATTGCTTGTTGTTTAACGCCGCTCTCAGCAATATTCCAGCTATATGGCGGCAGTCAGTAATAATTGAGCCTGGACCAGACAGTCCAGTGATCAACAGCATGAGGGTCAATCTACGTAATTGGGATCCGATGACATGTGTCAACCAAGTCAGCGAGCTTGACCATCCGATCCCGTTAGTCGCCTCTTACGACAAGCATGGGTTACTGAAGATCAATTCTAACCCGGATCTTCACGGGTCAATTCAAAAGGAAAACCCAACAAACCGAATAACAGCATAAAACTCAACAAAACACAACAAATCAGAAAATCATTTATTAGAATGAGGCTATTTGTACACTTGCCATTACTGATTATGTGGCACGACTGGCCATTTATACCATTTTCATTTGGACGAATGGTGACCAGTTGACATCACCCATGCCCTGTTAACACGGAACGGAAGTCAGTCTCACCATAATGAATGAATGAATAATTGAATGAATGAATGAATGAATGAATGGATGGATGGGTGCATGGATGGATGACTGACTGACTGACTGACTGACTGGATCGATAAAATCCGTATTCAGCAATATTCTAGCTATCTGGCGACGGTCTGTAAAAATCGAATCTGGACCAGACATTCCAATCATACACCATGAGCATCGATCTACGCAATTGGGATACGATGACATATGTCATCCACGTCAGCGAGCTGGACCACCCGATCCCGTTAGTCGCCTTTTACGACAGCATGGATTACTGAAGATCAATATTCTAACACGGACCTTCACGGGTCGACAAAATATGTAATTGCTAATATTGGCAAACCCACTAGACTATAAGATCCATCGTGTTGGGTTACAGTTATCGGCCTAACTGAACCAAAAATGTGCGAATTTCTGGTGTCCCCGCCGTGGTGGCACGTGGTCCTGAGCATTGGGGTCAGTTCACAAATCAGTTGAAGTTAAAGGTCGGGGTTCAAACCTATACACAGATGGGGCGTGGCCTCCTTGCCTTGTCAAAGCTGTCCTTAGATGCAAAGCAATGTAGTATTCAAAGCACATTCCATGAAATATCACAAAACTGACTCACCGTTTCAGGCTGATATTAAGTCATAGTATAAAGAATTATGTTATGAAGACTAACAGCAAAAAGGAGTGATGTAGAGAGTCTACAAAACATAATTTTGAAAATGTATTTCTCTTATTTAAATCCAGATTTGAATTTCCCACTGTGTCAGTCAGTTGGCCAGAGAAGGTGCGTTTCCATAGAAACAAGCCTTGGAGTGGGGAAGTGTTTCATTCAGGGTTTCATATTTCAGGCAGGCTGGGAAAATGCCACTGACTCTGTTCACCCAGCAGACAATGGGTACCCGGTGGGATAAAATCATGTGACTATAACCCTCTAGCTCCTAGCAGGCAGCTTGGGTTATCCGAGGTAATAATAATAATCAGATTGTTAGGGCTCTTCGAGCATGCATTGTGTATGGAGCAATGCGCATGATGAATGTTATGATATTGCTGAAATATTGCTAAAAGCGGCATAAAACCTTACTCACTCACTATTCACAAACCACTCACCCTCTAGATTTAAGTATGAGGTTATGAAAGCGCAGGATATGCTTGACTGTTGAGAATTACACACACGACGCAACATACATTCTTGTCATCTCTACATTCCCGTTGTGTCATGTGATATGGAAGATAACGACAAAAACGCTGATGATCTGAATGGCTTACTGTTCGATGATAAAACATGCTCGCAAATGATCTGATATGCTTTCTATTTGAGCTTGTCATTTGGTGAATGTACGTTGGCGACGGTCGGAGAAAAAAAGATGCATAGCTTTTGGCCATAGAAACCGTGCCATTTAACACTTGTCAGTGAGATAGACAAAGTACGTGATCTGATGTGGATGCATGGAGTATATCGCTGACCTTGTGTGCCTCGCTCTTGCAGTGTTGTATGTTGTATGCACGTGTGTGTGTGTGTGTGTGTTCTCGCGCGTGCATTCATGTAGGTATGTGTTTGTTATGACAAACATGCCTCTTTGAAACGCAATTATAAAACAAACACACATAATGTAAAAATGATCAAACAAGAATATCAGTAATCTACACTCTTAATGACTTTATACAACAGTAATAAATTATACAGATTAAAGTCCAACCGATCTGATGATTGACCAAACCATTAGTGACAAAAGTCGATTCTTTAGTTTCGACCATATCATGATCATGTGTTTTGAATCGCCATATAACAAGAATATCAGTAATCGACGACGCAGTGAAAAGCCTAACATGCGTTGCTATTTCAAGGGTAACAAACTGATGGAAGCTCCCTGGGACGAACTCGATAGGACGACAGACACACCTATACCCACTCAGTCTCCCTCACTCCATGCTGGGAACACCTCGTGAGAGCATAGTAGCAGCTAGGGTCGTCCCCGCCGTGGTCTCAGGTCGGATTCGCGCCGCCCTCCCAGGGAACACTCTCACTAGGGGTGGGGCCAAGGACACGATTTAGGGATGTGACCTCCGCAAGTGTTAGCAATACATCGGACTTTGTGAACTTTGTGTTTTGGAACATTGGTGGATATCACCCAAATTATCTGATAATGATTTTATTGATTATATTAAATCATTTGATATCATTGGAATTAGTGAAATAATAATATTTTCCCTGATTTTGAGGCGATTGTAAAAGCAGCATATAAAATATCTACCTGTGGAAGACTTTCCGGTGGTTTTCTGTGTGTTATGTGTGAGTGGGGAGCAGAAAACATTGTGAAAGCATTGTCATATTGATGAATGTTGTATATGAGCAACCATTGTGCTCAGCTTTCCCTGTATATATGCGTATGATGGTTTCCTGTGTATTGTGTGAACGGAGATCTTCAGTGATGGTGAATGTGTTGTCACAATGATGAATGATGTTTGTAATTGGCAGGTCACATATGAACTAGTGTTACAGCACAACATGATCTAATCAGTAAGGCTCTATTCCACAAATGGGTAAGATGTATTTTCATATGTCAACATATTTTCCTTTGTTATGTACACCTTCGGGTAACCTTTGAGGGTTACCAAATAGTTATCTGGTTGTATGTCGTGTTAATTGCGAACTTTATTGTCTGTCAGATGTATCTGTACATATTGTTTTAATTTACATTATTTCGGCAAAATGTGTTATTTGGCAATGAATTATCTCCCTTGGTGGAACAACCAACGTTGTGCATGTAGTTTCATGTGATTATTATTTCCCTTGACAGTTTATAATGTTGTATAATATACATGTGTAATTGTTAGACTACAGATTTAATTGTGATCAACTAATTGTGATACCTGTGCAAAACATTATGTAATGTGTAAATATTTCTAAGAATGTTATGTGTGTTTCGGGGCTTGATGTATGACTAAGAAGTTATCTGAATAAACCGCACCTCACCCCTACAGCGAGTCATGTGATTCCCTGATATTACCTGGCGATTTAACCAGCTGTAACACATACGTATTTGTGTCAGAATATAAAAACGTCCAAAGGTGCATGTATTCCGGTCCATACACCCATGCTCCCATGCATACTCTACAGTCGTGTTACATCAGAGGCTATGTATGGATACTCGCAGCAGTCTTGTTTTCTTTCACAACATTGGAATGCTGTTTCACCTCTCCATGTAGCGGACCCTGTTTGTCCCAGGATACACATACCTCGTTTAGCTGTCCCTTTGAAACACGACCAGATCAAGATCTTACGCTAGAAGATTACGCAAGCTGTCCTTGTTGTAAATGGAAACAGTTGCACACATTTCAATGATTTCCAAATATTTCATGCATTATTCATGTTAGTGAATTATAGTATGCACAAATATGTAAATGATTTTTTCTGTATCGAAATAGATTTGTTTACTTTAGGCCCGGTCCATTTATACTTCTGTTACACCTAGCAAAAAAGTTTTAAAAACCCGTGTTACCATTCTTTAGCTAATTTTAATATCTTACTTATTCAAGGTTTAAAAAACGGACGACAGGCCAAATACAATACGTCCATTTGCCCTGAAATGTGTGAGGATTTGTGTCGCCGTATCGGTGGATGCACGTTCTACCATTGTCTTCTGACTACATTACCTGCGAACGGAACCAGAACAACAGCGTGGTGACTGAGGGGAAGCAGATGTTCCATCTCAAGGTGAGTTTAAATGGAATGGGTTGCAGGTGAACAATTGACTTGCCTTCACAATATCCACTCCATAGTCTTTCCAGACATTCAGACTTCTTCAGCGCCTCTGAACAAATGCATTGTAGAAATAGGCGCTATATACCATTCATTATTACTATCATTATTATAAGGGTTCCCAAGAAACACCATTCCTTGTCTTGTCCCAATAATTGACGAAGGCAAGGCAACAATAATTACCATTTCATTTTCACACGCTTTCACGGGAGTTACAATTGTCATTTGCAATCAGCTTTCAGGACACCCTCCAGCCCTCCTCTGGATCCGCCTTGGAAGAAGCGACAGCATCTTGTTGCCCTACAGGTATAAGTAATTTTGAATAGTTGAATCTCTTGTAGTAGAATATTTGTTTTCGTTTTATGTATGTATATCATAAAGCATAAACTGATTAACGAACCAGCATTGGTTTGTTTTACATATTCGAAAGTTGACTTGCTTTGTTTGTTTCGTTTCGATGTTGTTTAACGCCGCACTCAGCAATTATCAAGCTGTGTGATGGCGGTTTGTAAATAAATTAGTCTGGGCCGGACAATCCAGTTACTGACACCATGAGCATCGATCTACGCAACTGGGATATGATTAAATTCATTGGTTGCTTATCACTAGTGTTAACTGCTAAAGCACAATTCTTCACGGGACTACTTATTTAACACGCTGCGAGTGTAATAACATTGACTGTATATCATTTATTGGACGAGGGCCTCCTTCAAAGACACTGTGCATGCGGTGGTGGGGATGTGGGGTGTGGTGGGGATGGGGGAGGATTGCCCGCAAGAATAGCCAATAATAACTCTTTTTTCACTTATCTCTTTATCTCTTACGCTGCTTGTCGGATAGAGCGCGAAGCCCTCATTCAGTATAACCTGTCAAGAGCATTATATCTGCATTCTGTTTCAACATGAATACACTTTGGCAACCCACCAACCCCTGTCTACAGCCACACCCACCCAAATCCCTCCTTACCAGTATGCTTCATTCCGTGTCAATAACGCAGGTGTAAATTGTGTTAAATACAGAACCAGTCTTCAGATATGAACGATGACAACCATTCTGTTCCTTGTAGGTGAGTATCACTTTCAACTATCTTTCAAAAATACATGAAGTAAATGTACTATTAAGAAACCCTAACATTGAATTAAGATTCAAGCTTCTGAACGGTAACTACGTAGTTATGGTAAAAATCCAATGCAGATTTTGAGCCCCACGTCAACACGAATACAATGTTATCATTGTGTTATGCTCACTTTGAACAAGAACAGCATGTCGATGTAGAGCTCCCTATCAAAACGAATATAGTGAAGCAAACATCAGACAAATCAAAACACATGGATAAATAAAATATCTTAGAAATTTCCATGAAGACCCGAGGTCGGATGTGTTCCCAGCATGCAATTGCTAGTCGTTGAGTGCAACTAAATCGGCAATGTATACATATACACATATTGGTGACAACATCATGAACATACGTGGTGTAATACAACTTACGTAATTTATAGAGTGCTGTGATGGAAAAATTCAAAGAAAACGTTTCCAAACTAAAACTGCATCAGATGTTTGATTGGCATTTTAGAAGATGCTATTAGATGAGCATACAGGCTATTCTGGATTTCATCTTCTTTTTTATTGTTTGATACAGCGTTTCAGGTCTTTTTCTGGCCCCATCATCAGGTAGAACTCAGATGATAAAATTGTTCTACAGATCTTCGCATACATCTTTCTCTTGTTTGCATAAGGACCATATTCGGGAATACAAAGTAAAATCCCGAACATATGCATACACACCTGGAATAAAATACAAAAAGAACTTACTTAAGCACGCCCTGTATTTTTGCAGTGATAGGATTTCATCAAGTACATAAAACTCGTGGTGACCACAATGGAAAAACATGTGTTTTTCTGATCCGTATGATCCTTTAACTCATAACGAGCGACAAAATGATTGGATTCCATGTTGATTTTTTGATGATAATTGCTCATTTTAAAAATAAAACAAACAGTGATTTTCATACAAACCCATGTCTGTATGGCCCTGGATGATAATTGCTCATTTTGAACAAACTCTGATTTTCATACAAAACCATACAAGTACAAGTATGGCCCTGGAATGTTTAATGTTGACTGTATTGGTGAATGTGAACATTCTAAATGTCATGTTGCGTTTCTTACACGATTCAAGGTCAATACCGTTGGTAACCTCCATGTGACTGTATGACAGCCAGCACTCTCCGCCATCATATCCCCTGTCAACTTCCTGATTCTCTGATCGGGTTAGGATCGGGGCTCATTCAATCGTGAGACATGTCCGGGGTGCTTGATGTGGAATGTCCGATGCCAAATACGTTGTTGATGGCTGTTTCTTTCAATATGCATCGAACTCCTCATCGTTATAACAATATAGCGGTTCATTTAAATGGTTTCGATGACATGCTCTATGTTCCAGTACTTTTCATGTACCAATCGACCGCTGATTCCAACTGTCTTTGGGCCTGTCCTGAGTGTTTACGAGGGTGGTATGGCGTCCACTGTGACAAAAGGTGTATTGGTGTTTGTGACAGTGGTGGTTGTCACAGGGACTCAGGACGATGCCCCCAGTGCCAGGGCGGCTACTACTCATCCAACTGTACAAGAGCATGTCCTCCTCACTGCCGGAAGAACAATGACGGACATGCTCACTGCCATCGAGCGACAACACATTGTTTAGAAAACTGTGAGATTGGATGGTGGGGAGATAGATGTGACCGAGCCTGCAGTGAAGGATGTGTGGACAACTCATGCTACCCCTGGGATGGAACCTGTAACAAGGGCTGCCGTCATGGATGGACTGGTGACGACTGTGGCACAAGATGTCCAAGCGGTTGCCGTCATAACGCATGTGATCCATCTGGAAAAGGAAGATGTACTGAAGGATGTAGCCACGGCTTACATGGGCATCACTGTGATCGACCCTGTGACAGCCGCTGTAGGGGGCAGGGAATGTGTTTATGACCATGAAGTAAAGTCTGCAGTTTGTACTGAGGGGTGCGTCGACGGGTGGATGTCCTCTGACTGCCAGAAGAAGTGTCCACCCAACTGTCAGGCTTGTCTACAGGAGTCTGGACATTGTTCCAGATGTTCTCACGGTTACTGGGGGGGTGGACTGTGCCAATGAGTGTAGTTCCACGTGTTCTGAGAGGACATGTGATGAGGATGGGAGGTGCTTTGCATGTCAACCTGGTTACTATGGAAACACTTGTGACAGATACTGCGGGACTGATTGTGCCATGTGCGAAATGATGAACACAGAGGGTGTCTGTGATGACGTGTGCGCGGCGCTGTGCCTGAACAACTCAAATGGAACACGGGGGTCGCCTTCTGCAGTCCAGACATGTGAGTTAATCCGATAAGTTGTTCTGACCGAATCAAACGCAAAGCTATACTCCATGCTATTAAACATGTAATTTCAACTCACTCCCAGGTCGTAAATACTTTGGTGTGATTTGATATCAAGTTACCCTTAATGATTACTCAACTCATAGACACTGTTGGAGATGTTTCTACTGCAACTGATATTTTCCTCATTACCTTTAATGTAATCAAAATATATTTGAAAAATAAGCCATAATTGAACGATATATTTGTGTGGCCATTTTTTGTTTGTTGGAGGCATGCATATTTTCCAGCATTTCCTGAGCTCGGATTCTGCGATAATAAGTAATTAATAGTCATTGCCACCTCGTGGATTAATGTATGTACCGTTGTTCTGAACTGATATTCAACTATGATCCTGAAACGCTGCACTTGTTTTTTTCAGATGTGAGAAATACATCCGACAGATGTGGAGAAGAATTTCTGCTTCCTCTTGTCACAGTACTCTTCCTGAACATATTTGTATTCATGATGTAAATGAAATGTTATTGCATTAAAGATGTCTTGTTTCTGGTCATCAGTGTGTCATTTGTTTGTTTGTTGTTTATCATCGAACAATGTGTTTATGTAGGTATAAAACAAATAACACCGCGGCATGTCATGCTGAAAATAGTGATTTAAGGTCTCTTGGTGGTGAGACTCAGCGACTGAGATGACAGGTGTCTTAGTTAGTTGGCGGAACAATGCTCATAATGTCAATCACAGGAATGTAAGTTTTGAGTCGCCTATTTGCTGGTAACCGTGATACAATTGGAATGTTACGTTGCGAGGAAACCCAACCACCAGCACGCACGTGAGATACAATAGATGGGGAAGTTATGAAGACCTGCTTCTCAAACACGCCTGAGACAGCTGTGCGCACGAATGAGCAGTTCCTAGAAAATGTCTGTACATAATCGGAAATGTCATAACCGGAGATAGCTAACACCATCCCAGTGTCAATACAAATCGCGTGAGTACCGTTTGAGCAAAAAATGGATTGGATTGCTCGTTGTTTAACGCCGCTCTCAGCAATATTCCAGCTATATGGCAGCAGTCAGTAAATATTTGAGCCTGGACCAGACAGTCCAGTGATCAACAGCATGAGGGTCAATCTACGTAATTGGGATCCGATGACATGTGTCAACCAAGTCTGCGAGCTTGACCATCCGATCCCGTTAGTCGCCTCTTACGACAAGCATGGGTTACTGAAGATCAATTCTAACCCAGATCTTCACGGGTCAAGTCAAAAGGAAAACCCAACAAACCGAATAACAGCATAAAACTCAACAAAACACAACAAATCAGAAAATCATTTATTAGAATGAGGCTATTTGTACACTTGCCATTACTGATTATGTGGCACGACTGGCCATTTATACCATTTTCATTTGGACGAATGGTGACCAGTTGACATCACCCATGCCCTGTTAACACGGAACGGAAGTCAGTCTCACCATAATGAACGAATGAATAATTGAATGAATGAATGAATGAATGAATGAATGAATGAATGAATTAATGGATTAATTAATGGACGGGTGGATGGGTGCATGGATGGATGACTGACTGACTGACTGGCTGACTGATTGATCGATAAAATCCGTATTCAGCAATATTCTAGCTATCTGGCGGCGGTCTGTAAAAAATCGAATCTGGACCAGACATTCCATTCATACACCATGAGCATCGATCTTCGCAATTGGGATACGATGACATATGTCATCCACGTCAGCGAGCTGGACCACCCGATCCCGTTAGTCGCCTTTTACGACAGCATGGATTACTGAAGATCAATATTCTAACACGGACCTTCACGGGTCGACAAAATATGTAATTGCTAATATTGGCAAACCCACTAGACTATAAGATCCATCGTGTTGGGTTACAGCTATCGGCCTCACTGAACACAAAAATGTGTTAATCCCATTTCTGGTGTCCCCGCCGTGGTGGCACGTGGTCCTGAGCATAGGGGTCAGTTCACAAATCAGGTGAAGTTACAGGTAGGGGTTCAAACCTATACACAGATGGGGTGTGGCCTCCTTGCCTTGTCAAAGCTGTCCTTAGATGCAAAGCAATGTAGTATTCAAGTAAATTCCATGAAATATCACAAAACTGACTCACCGTTTCAGGCTGATATTAAGTCATAGTATAAAGAATTATGTTATGAAGACTCACAGCAAAAAGTAGTGATGCAGAGAGTCTACAAAACATAATTTTGAAAATGTATTTCTCATATTTAAATCCAGATTTGAATTTCCCACTGTGTCAGTCAGGTGGCCAGAGGAGTTGCGTTTCCATAGAAACAAGCCTTGGAGTGGGGAAATGTTTCATTCAGGGTGTCATATTTCAGGCAGGCTGGGAAAATGCCACTGACTCTGTTCACCAAGCAGACAATGGGTACCCGCTGGGATAAAATCACGTGACTATAACCCTCTAGCTCCTAACAGGCAGCTTGGGTTATCCGAGGTAATAATAATAATCAGATTGTTAGGGCTCTTCGAGCATGCATTGTGTATGGAGCAATGCGCATGATGAATGTTATGATATTGCTGAAATATTGCTAAAAGCGGCATAAAACCTTACTCACTCACTATTCACAAACCACTCACCCTCTAGATTTAAGTATGAGGTTATGAAAGGGCAGGATATGCTTGACTGTTGAGAATGACACACACGACGCAACATACATTCTTGTCATCTCTACATTCCCGTTGTGTCAGGTGACAAAAACGCTGATGATTTAGGGATGTGACCTCCGCAAGTGTTAGCAATACTTCGGACTTTGTGAACTTTGTGTTTTGGAACATTGGTGGGATAACAACCAAATTCTCTGATAATGATTTTATTGATTATATCAAATCATTTGATATCATTGGAATTAGTGAAACTTGGAGTAGGAATATATATATTTTCATAATATTTGCCTGATTTTGAGGTGATTGTAAAAGCAGCATATAAAATATCTACCTGTGGAAGACTTTCCGGTGGTTTTCTGTGTTTTGTGTGAGTGGGGAGCAGAAAACATTGTGAAAGCATTGTCATATTGATGAATGTTCTGTATGAGCAACCATTGTGCTCAGCTTTCCCTGTGTATATGCATATGATGGTTTCCTGTGTATTGTGTCAACGGAGATCTTCAGTGATGGTGAATGTGTTGTCACAATGATGAATGATGTTTGTAATTGGCAGGTCACATATGAACTAGTGTTACAGCACAACATGATCTAATCGGTAAGGCTCTATTCCACAAATGGGTAAGATGTATTTTCATATGTCAACATATTTTCTTTTGTTATGTACACCTTTCGGGTAACCTCTGAGGGTTACCAAATAGTTATCTGGTTGTATGTCATGTTAATTGCAAACTTTATCGTCTGTCAGATGTATCTGTACATATCGTTTTAATTTACATTATTTGGGCAAAATGTGTTATTTGGCAATGAATTATCTCCCTTGGTGGAACAACCAACGTTGTGCATGTAGTTTCATTTGATTATTATTTCCCTTGACAGTTTATAATGTTGTATAATATACATGTGTAATTGTTAGACTACAGATTTAATTATGATCAACTAATTGTGATACCTGTGCAAAACATTATGGAGTGTGTACATATTTCTAAGAATGTTATGTGTGTTTCAGGGCTTGAGGTATGACTAAGGAGTTATCTGAATAAACCACACCTCACCCCTACAGCGAGTCATGTGATTCCTGATATTACCTGGCGATTTAACCAGCTGTAACACATACGTATTTGTGTCAGAATATAAAACACGTCCAAAGGTGCATGTATTCCGGTCTATACACCCATACTCCCATGCATACTCTACAGTCGTGTTACATCAGAGGCTATGTATGGATACTCGCAGCAGTCATGTTTTCTTTCACAACATTGGAATGCCCTTTCACCTCTCCGTGTAGCGGACCCTGTTTGTCCCAGGATACACATACCTCGTTTAGCTGTCCTGTTGAAACACAACCAGATCAGGATCTTACGCTAGAAGATTACGCAAGCTGTCCTTGTTGTAAAAGGAAACAGTTGCACGAATTTCAATGATTTCCAAATATTTCATGCATTATTCATGTTAGTGAATTATAGTATGCACAAATATGTAAATGATTTTTTTCTGTATCGAAACAGATTTGTTTACTTCAGGCCCGGTCCATTTATACTTCTGTTACACCTAGAAAAAAAATGTTTTAAAAAACCCGTGTTACCATTCTTTAGCTAATTTTAATATCTTACTTATTCAAGGAAATTTCTGTTTTGGTGCGAGGTTCGTTTAGATAAGTGTCATATGTATCGTTCAATGTGCTTATTGGCTTATTCCTACATCCTACCAGTATAACCTTATATCCTCGGGAATCGGTAGAGTTTGCCTAGGCAATACATTGGGCTTGTTCGGCAAGAAGATTTAAAAAAAAACAAATATTTGTGTTGCATATATATAACCTGTGCATGAGACTGAGAAATATGCTTATGAAAGTCATTTCAGTTAATGTGGAAGGCACCAGTATGGAGACAGTTGGCAGCTCAGGACAACAGTCAGTCAAGTTTATATTGTTCCGGGTCTCTTTTTGACAAAGTAAATTCTTGACATCCATTATTTGCATAATGAGAACGACGGCTTCCCGATAAGATGTACTGTCCAATTTTTTTCAGACGTTCCCTTTGGTAAATGCATGCAATAACAATAAGTGCGACAACACAAACGAATACTGGTAGTCCTATAGCAAGTCCCAGGACGAGGTCTGTTGGCGATGATTCAGTAGTAGAAGTGGTACTTTTGGGTGTTGTCGACCCCTCAGATGGCGATGGCGATGGCGATGGCGATGGCGATGGCGATGACGATGGTGAGCTTGTTTGCATGCTGCCGTTAGAATTGTTGGTACTTGTTTCTTAAATAGAAAAATGGAAATAAGAAAGCACTACACGCGTATATGTAACAAGTTCCCAACTAAACGACAACATCAGTTACACTCTAAAGTAATTTGTCGCATTTTAAACAAAGGTGATTGAAAACTATGCTAAAGCAATTTGTTTGGTCTTTTTGTATGAAACAACTCCCAACAGAAATAAAAACTATGATGCTGTTATTGAATTGCCTGGAATTAATTCCAAGATTTTCTTTCAAAAACTCAGCTTAAAAAAACATGATTTGATTTTGAGTAGTTGAATAATTGTATGGTATTTTCCAGAGTGCACCATGCCATGCCATGCGATTTTGAAGATACGGGTTTGTTTCATGAGAAGTTTCCAAAATATGAGAGATTTATTGCATTAATACTCCTTCACTGGGAAATATCAAAGTCCGGATGGTCAGACTTCCACCCGTATCCCCCCTAAAATTTTGACGATGAGGAAAGATTTCTTTGAGTGGCATTTTTAGAAGTTGGATATGATTTCAGTATGTTCAAATACAATTAAAAAAAACATGCTAAAGATCATCCTTATCAGATGAAAAATATATATTCTGGTGGTATGATTTGACTAAAGTGAAATTTAAGTGGGGATACGGGCGGAAGTCTTTCCGTTCGGATTACTATATCAAAGTATGTTTAATTAACAGCCGGAGTCAAAATACATGAATTTTATATACATTTTAAAACTACACTGAGTCTGGCCACCAAGTTATTTTTCCCGCGACGGACACATTGCTGTGGGCTCATTCTAACTTTGAGACACCCAGGAGTGAGTGAGTGAGTTTAGTTTTACGCCACACTCAGCAATATCCCAGCTATATGGCGGCGGTCTGTAAATAATCGAGTCTGGATCAGACAATCAAGTGATCAACATCATGAGCATCGATCTGCGCAATTGGGAACCGATGACATGTGTCAACCAAGTCAGCGAGCCTGACCACCCGATCCTGTTAGTCACCTCTTACGACAAGCATAGTCGCCTTTTGTGGCAAGCATGGGTTACTGAAGACCTATTCTGCCCCGGATCTTCACGGGTCTGAGACACCCAGGAACGTGTGAAGGCATTAACTGTCGACATGGAAGATGTCTTTAACTTGTGAAAACATGGGTATTGCTATTTCGTTGTACAAAGTAAATATTCAGGTTACCTAGAACAGATAGATGATGATATTAAGTTATCACCCAAAATTGTTTTGGAGGACAGTGAGTACCTACCTGTCGACCCGGGGTTTGTTGTTGTTGTTGTAGCAGCTACAAAGAGAACATTGTATCCTTTGTAGGTTGAGAGAATATTTGTGGAAATCGGTTGTAATCACGAGAGAGTAAACAGGTGAGTGAAAAGCATTTTAGATCGATTTCAAAAGGGATTGAGATAATACGGCATTACAGCAATGCTCCTGGAATGTTAAAGTAATATAATATCACTAGAATGCAGGCCAAATTCGTCATCACGCCTTATATCGTCTTCCTGGTGGCACTCGGAGCCTTTATTGAAATCTCAGCATGTATTGTGCAGACATTGCTCTTGTCCAATGATTTGAATGTTGTCAAAGAGGATAATTATATCAGACTATATATTTGTAACCGAGGCGTCCAATTTCGAAATTCGTTACACATTCTGAAGTGTAATAATGTTGAATGTTGTTACATCAATCAACCTTTTTTGCACAAAGAGTGAATTTGAATTTTGAAATCGTTTTAGAATTATGCTCGATGGTTCTTTAAATGAATAAACACCTGACATTGATAGTATTACAATAGAGCACCAACCTGTTAGTTTGGAAACTCCACCGCAAGTAAGCATTATGTTGCTGTTGTCACATCTGAATGTGACACTGACACCTCCAAAGCGGTCAGATGTGACGTTGAAGGAGTGGTGCTGGACAGTGTCTGTGATGTTGTTCGTTGTCTGGTTTTGTAACAAGACGTCTGTGACGCTGCCAGTTCTGAGATCAAACCCAGCTTGTTGAGAACAGTAGTACCCTCTGAGGTCCATTGTCAGGGTGAGGTTTGTACCAAGTTCAAGAGCGTTGGTGTCTGTATCGCTGCTGATGTTGCACTGTGGTTTGACCTGGTTGCAGTAGATGAATGATATCACTTACTCCTCATCTGTCCATCATATCATTCAATACGTTGTAAACACATTAAAAGATATTACTATATCCATCCAAGCATCATAAAATTCTCTTTTCTCATAAGCAGTAAAAATCCAAATATATTACCCAATCTTGCCATGTTCATTCACATTGCAATGCTGTATAGAATAACAATTTATTCACTGTAATGTAAATATATATATTTATGTAATTCCCAATTATATATGTATATGTACTATAGGCCTGTGGACTCTTCAGCACGAGGATTGATTGAATGAATGAAGTCAAACGGAATGACAAAGAAAGTTTTGAATGAATGAATGAATGAATGAGGAATAAACATAGCATCCGAAGAGGAAAATATAACTCATCCGAAAGGATTACTGTACATTAATACATTACCAAAAACATGAATAGAGAAAATAAATGATTCAAGAACTATTTTTAAATACGCATGACTAATGATGACCATCCAGAAATGGAAACTCACTTTTTAACAACCTTTGAACTCCACGACAGCTCAGATCATAACTAGTGGCGTCACACGTAAACCTCACTCTGACGACACCAAGGCTTGAAAGGTTAATAGTGACGGTTTTGTTAACAACGTCGGAAGTGACATCACTGACGTTTTGGTTTATCTTCAGCGTCTCCAAGACAGAACCAGTAATAACGCTTAAGCCAGCTTCTTCTGAACAATAGTAGTCGGTCACATTCACTGTGAGTAGCAGGGTCGTGTCAAGGTCAAGTGCGTCAGTGTCCCCATCACTGCTAACGATACATTCGGGAGTTTCTGTTGATGGAAAATATGCTCAATGTTATAATACTTCAAACAGACATGAATTTGGTCAGGAGCAAATTGACAATTGAAAATTTATTCGTAACTGTCAAACATTCACATACACATATTGCATCTGCAATATATGAACCGCACCTTCCACCGTAACCCATGTTTACATTTCGAGAAATATTTGTCCTCGACATTGACCTATGGTACAGCTGCATGCATATTTTCGGACGTCGTTAACAATATATATTCAACGTGCGGTTGCATACCACGTTCTTCGTTCTATGTTCAGACAAAGTCATCTACCAGACCAAAGGCGTGGAAGGTTATGCTAGTGCATGTGGATAACTTTTCTATTCACCCTTAGGGAATTCACGACACGATCATTTACAGAATGACGGCATATTATCTGGAGGTGACACTAGCACGCACGCACGAATTTTCAGTCCTAAAATCATGTTGATATGCTTAAGTCAGTGGTTGCATTTGGAACCTAAATTAGTGAGTGCTCCACCTGTTATAATCTTGACCATTATACTTGATCTTGTTAAAATAAGAACATTAGGCAATATTTCCACACATGTCTCTGAACAGTAAAGTCACTTTCGCCATCTCTACTGGTACAGATTTTACCTTAGGTCAACTCTGGGGCAGCCTTATTGGTTTTAGACTTTAGATGTTCTCACAGATCGAGTGATCATGTGATCTTCGATTGAACACACGAGTTTGTCTTCAGTTTATATTTTAAGAATTAAGACGAAATATAAACTTTCGACAGTTTCATGATCCTGAGACTAATCCAAAAGCAGTTTGTTTTAACACCGCTACATGCACTACTCCAACTGTCTGTATAACGTTCAGTGACCAGACAGTCATATTATTACGTGAACATCCATCAAGTCAGTTGTGATACCAGCAAGTCGTTATGAGAATCGCAAAGTCCGACCTCCTGGGCTATTACAACAATCATAAGTTGTATGGAAGCTGTATTTATACTCGTTCATCCTAAAAGGTTTATGGATAGATCTAGCGAATGTAACGTGTTCATGACCAGATCTTTTGATCGATACTATTTCGGAGTGCATTGTGTCAGTACTCACTTGCTACTGTCAGCTTACACACGTCCACAAAAACATCCGTGTCCTTTGCGACCGCTATGCTCCAAGTCCCTGCATCTATCTTCTCAACACTTTCGATGGTGAGTGCAGAAGGTGTATCGTTGGTTGCTTTATATCCTTCCACAGGGCTGCAGCTGGGGTTGCAGATGACGACATTACGGCCATCATTTGGTCGAACCCATACAAAGCCTGTATAGTTGCTTCTGTCACCTACAATAGTGTAGTTTGTTCCAAGATGGCCAACACCGCCCGGACATGTGGGATCTATTTGAGCAGCACCTGGAACATGAGTTTTTGAAGGCATTGCTAGTGAATGAAATATATTATTCCGTTGTGGGTGTTTATGATATAACAGAACCATCTACTGTAGATCATTGTAGGAATATAATGTTTGGCTGAAATTTTGTCGTCGAAATAAAGTTACCTGCTTTAGAAAAATGTGTACCATAAAATTATAACTAAAAACTTCTAAAAGCGTCCTGAATAAATCTTAATTTCAAACTTAAGAAATTAAGCTCGAGTTCCTTGCATTCGTTTTCGAGTGTCTGGGACACAAACTAATGACATACGTTTGGATATAGGTGATAAGAAGAATGTTGATCTTTTGAAACCAGAGTAATTTTTTTATATTATTTACATGGTCATTCTTACATTTACCTAGATGATACTTTCCTTCCGCGTTATCGTGCACCTGCGTAGATGATATTCTGTTTCATATAGTTGATACTTCACTTTTACGATGATGATACTTTACATCAACGCAGAAGATACTTCACGTCTACGAATATGATACTTTACTTCACGTAACTGATGCTTTACTTCTACGTAGACGATACCTTACCTATAAGTAGATGATACTTCAACTAAAGGCAGATGATACTTACATCAAGGCAGAAGATCCGTTCATCTTTGCAGATGTGACATAGATTAAAGTTTTGATGTTATAATCTTCTGTGCCATAAAGAATTAATTAAAGACCAGTAAACAAGGCTTTAGGGAACCTCTGGCTAATTGATAGTGACCTTTTATGACTTTCAAATTTGATATGTCTTGAGGTGATATCAGAACACCCACTACGGAACTCACACGCGCCCATGCGTAAGTATCTGAATAATACATGACAACCCTTCAACTTTCATAATAAATCACAAGGAGCTACATATATTCTGGTACATGAATAAAATGTAAACAATTTGATAACCCCTACCTCCTAATGACACAAGATGTTCAAGTGTAAAGTGTCGACTTATCAATGCAACATATGGATTATATTGTTATGGCGTCCGACATTGCTGGCCTGGCAATATTAATTGCAAGGAGACATTACCTCAATGATAAATATTGGTTTTTGATAACATGAAGCACGTGGCGAGAGGATGAAAGCATGTGTAAATACTGGAGTAATTCTACATATCCTCACATTACCTGTTGATATAGGTGTCCCATCCGTTGTAGATGTGGAAACTGCACTTGTTGTCATTGAAATATCTGAGTTGAATTAACGAAAAACATATAATAAAATTACAAGAGAACTTTTGCCAATCGTTTGTTCATTTTGTAATGCATTAGAATTTGTAAAACACTTCCGGCGGTGTCGCCCATACCATTAAGTTTACCAACTAGTCTCTTCATGGCTACCTTACACAAAATGACCTCATCACCACGAGAATGAACTTGGAACTTCAATCAGAAACACAGTAATTTGGCTTCTTGATGTCCACAATGTATATAATTTAATTTCCGAACAGATATTCTAGCAGACCACATTAAGTCACAAAGCAGACTTTGTTACGAGATTACTTCTCTACTGCTAAACATTGCGATAAAGGTTACTGGAGACCGAAATCGTGACTGTGCCAATACCTAACTTATATCGAATACATTGAAAACAAACTATTCAAAAACACAACTACCAACGAAACATGCAAAAAAAAAGGAAAGTGCAACATTGGAACTAGCACAGAACTGATTATTATTTAGACTGGTGACGAATTAATTAAATATATGAAATATATTTGCGAAAGAATTGAAAACAATGGAGGGCTGCAATTTTAAAACATGTATGATATGAAGAAAAATCAACTACTTACTTCTGCAACTTAGAAAACATAAAACCAGTATACTCGTTAGAATACCATCTAATGGAGAGGAAATTATGCAATCAGAACGTATCAAATGCACTAATACACAGGCAACAGATCATAACACATTGGTAAGTGGCTGTAGAATAAATCTCTCAGTAGAAGCAGAATACGTTGTACGTCTTCGACGACATCATAAGCAGATTTTTATGGATAAATGTCTAGTATTGACGATACTGGATGTTCCGTCACAAACACATGCGAAGGAAAGTCAATTGTTCACCTGAAACACAACACGGGAACATGGGGAATTCCTCATCTTTGTTGTCACGTGTGTTTATAGTGACCATGACTGTATTTGAAACCGTCTGATATGTGATTGTACTATGACTGCTCACAAGTTGACTGGAGGATGGAATATTGCTCGATTAAAGTGAAAATTGACCATTTGGAAAATTGAATTTGGAACCATTAAAAATGACAACAGACAGGGTATTGATTCAAATTCTGTAGGCATGACAATACGTTAACCACACGGATGAATAGGCATCTTGCTATTCCTATCCTTGGACCAGAGAAGAACAGACGAATGGAATTTTCGTTACAAAAATAAATAAATAAGCATAGCTAACTGTTAATGTCACAGTACATTTAACAATATCCGCTTTGTAAGCGTATGAAATCATACACTCAGATACAATTGCTTGGTTGTGCAACCTAACGCCCTGCGATCACCTGCAATGTATCTGTTTCTATTACTGTAATATCTTGATAGATCAGTTCTCATAATCAAATATATCTATTGAACGAAATCAATGTGAAAGCTCATAAAATTTACAAAGCAAAACTGTAAACCGTTGTGATAACTGAAGTTATGAATATTGAATCTGGCGTCTTCTCATAATGTAGCATGAACATTAAAATACTTACCACTGATAAAAAAAACAGCCAGACCCAGCAAAAGAAGTAGGTGATTTTGATTGAGCATTGTTTTCAACTGAAAACGAAAATATATAATGAGATTAGTATATTTCTCTTTCCACGTTAGCGACATAGTTATAATATGGGAACTCTTGACATGGGCAAACATTCACGCATCATATCAAATATCATGCAGTACGTCTAAACGTGAAAATCTTATCTTGTTCCCATTATTTAATCGGTATCATAATAAAAACAAGTTTCATCGCAGAACATCATTGCTGCATAACCCTTCGTGTTCAGGACAATCCAGAATAGTACATGCGTTTTTCTTTAGACTGTGGGAAGAAGTTCAATTTTGAGATTGCCAAGAAAGTACTCTGCCATGATTTCTGATGTAACTTGTGTTCTAGATCACCAGAGCATTTTCAAGAGTATACCACATTATGCTAAATGAAAATGTCTCATTCACAATAGTGGAATGGTCGCATACCAAAAGTTTGCACAACTCTAGACATTCCATCACGAGTCGAACGTGAATCTTATGAGGCAGGGTAGTGAGCTGACCAGGGTGTAATGCTCTAACGATGCAGATTTGATTCTCATATGTGTACAGAACGCGATTCCAATTTCCCGTGTTCCTAGTTCGGTGATCTACCTTCAGTTATTGGCGATTTATAGCCCATTTTTATACTGTATTGTTTTCCCCTCTAGTTATAACGTTTTAGAATTGATTGCTAGTTTTACATACACATCTTTGATATTCTAGTTGTTTTACTGTCCTTCGTCGGCAGGTTTGTTATAATATACATATGTTTCATTTCAATATCAAATGTTCTCGTCACGATATGGCTGAAATATTGCCGATGTGACGTTAAATATTAACTCACTCACTCCAATTTCCCGTTGTAGCTGCAGTGATATTGCTTGAATACTTTTAAATGCGGCATCATATGATAGATTCAAATATGTGACGAACAGCAGAATTATCCTTGTTTACCAGGGAGAAAGACCCAAACACTTTTCAATGTACATAGCGGATGAAATTGCAGAAGGTATGTCTGACGACACACATATTGATCTGGTCGGGTCACTTTAAGAAATATCTTAATATCTAATTTACGTAAACAACGTTCGATATAAACAATGACAGGAACATTATGCTCCAGAATATTTAAATGTAACAACATTACATTCATGCATCTATCCCCTGCTCCATTTTTCAACATCCTAAAACATGTGAGTAATATCGACACATGTACATCGAACCCTAAGATACTCTCTTATATAGCTCACTCCTGTGCCAATAATATCATATTTCCTTTTGTATAATTTGTAAATTTACTTATTGTCTTAAGAACTATATATTCACATATGTATCGCTCTGTAATACTGACATGTAGCCTGGGCCTATGGCCTCAACTACAAAGAAAATATGATTGATATATATTTTCTTACCAGCATGAAAAGAATTGGCAGAAACTTAGTCTCACGGGTATGATCAGTTATATGAACCAGCCTCAGTAAGGTGTAGAGTGTGTTGCTTGCGAGAAGAGACAATATGCAATAACATGACTAATATCTCAAATCCAGGTGATAACATGTCTGCCATCTTGAATTCATTTGTACGGGAGAGAGATGAAACAAATAAAATATGTTTGTATTTGTAAAATGTCCTTTAGGAGCTTGAGGTACATCTGAGCCCAGGTAGCTAGTATTCCACCAGTGCCGCTTTAGATCTGTCGCCCCATGAATAAACGTTACACCTTTCGACTTGAAATTAGTGAAGTTGCTGTTCCCGACAGAGAAGAGCATACCATGCACCTGGGACGCAAAATAATACCATCTTTTCTCTAATGAAATCACTTTGTTGTGGAGTGTTTTCTTCCCCTAGGATGTCATATGCATTCCCAACTGAACTTTTCCTCGAGAATCGAACTGAATTTAGGGCATAGTTTACTTGTTTGGTCACTGACACAAATAGCTCCGGCCAAACAGTATTATCGGATCAAATCTAGTATTCTGATCAGAGCTACGCCGGTATTTCGTGCGGGGGTTATAATTTAGTCCACGAGGGTTTATTGGGTGGTTGTGCAACTGTCTAAATCCACACTTCATGTGGACTCCCAGCTAGTCGGTGACATTGTAACGTTGACATGTTATCGATTGTATGGCATTACCCACTGGAATGTCATGCTGTGACCTAACAGAGGTGTCTAATACATATCAAAGCGGGTAATGTGTTTATAAGCCCACTAGCGAGAGTTAGTCAAGTAACAGGTGTGTCTTTTAAAACTCATGGTTTCATGCGACAACGCCAGCGAACACGTTAAAGACCAACATGTTCAATTGTCCAATCCATTAAATTTGACCAACATGAATGAGTGCGTGAATGAGTGTGGTTTAACGCCACTTTAAGCATTATTCCAGCAACATAACGGCGGGGGACACCAGAAATGGGCTTCACACACTGTACCCATGTGGGGAATCGAACCCGGGTCTTCGGTGTGACGAGCGAACGCTTTAATCACTAAGCTACCCCACCGCCCCTCCAACAACATGAAGACATAATGCCATGTATAAAGTGTTAAAATGTAACATATGTTATATTTGGGATTACACTTTATCCGTTAAGTACAGGTTTTGGTACTTTTGTTAGTTTCAGTCCCATCTGGGATATTATTCCCATCAACCTCAGAGTCAGGCACCTAACCGCCAACACACAAAGTGGGCGATCTAACCCACTCAGCCATCGCGGTTTCCTGGGAAGCTATCCAGGTCTGAATACAAGGACCTATACTTGTCTGAGAAAGTGTAATCCAAAATATAACAAAGTTCTGTATCATTTTAAAAGCACATGGCTACTTACTCGTGCACTCGGTATAACTTTAATCGTGCGCATTTAACAAAACGCCGTTTTTATAATCACAATGCACATTCCATGTCGAAGCTAGAACATTTCCACACACAACGCTCCCATACATGTTTGCTAACAGTGGGATAGTTTGGGGATTATCGTTGATTTACAGGCTGACATCAGCCTTTTTTATCACGAGCTTTAAGCTCTTTTTCTTTGCGGACACTCGCCGTGGTTAGACAGCAACCGTGTCACTGTGGTCGTAGTAAAACACACCAATGTCATACTGCACACGATGTCATTCAGCTCAGTATGTCATACATCACACGATGTCATATAGCACATCATGTCATACAGCACACAATGTCATATAGCACACGATGTCATACAGCATATGATGTCATAAAGCACGTGATGTCATATAGCACACCATGCCATATAGCACACGGTGTCATACAGCACCCGATGTCATACAGCACACCATGGCATATAGCACACCATGGCATATAGCACACGGTGTCATACAGCACACGATGTCATACTGCACATGGTGTCATATCATAAAGCACACCATGTCATACAGCACACCATGCCATACAGCACATAGTGTGATATCATAAAGCACACCATGTCATACAGCATATGGCGTCATATCACAAAGCACACGATGCCATACAGCACACCATGTCATACAGCCCATGGTGTCAAATCATAAAGCGCATGATGCCATGCAGCACACCATTTCATACAGCACATGGTGGCAAATCATAAAGCACACGATGCCATACAGCACACCACGTCATACAGTACACGATGCCATACAGGACATGTCATGCACCACACAACATAATACATTCAATCTGTCATACAGCACATGATGTCATACAGCACATACTATTATACTGCAAATGATGTCATACGGCACATGGTGTCATACAAAACATAATGCCACACACCACATGATGTCATACAGCACATAATGTAATACGGCATATGATGTCATACGGCACATAATGTCACACGGCACATGATGTCACACAGCAGATGATGTCATACGGCACATGATATCATACAACACCCAATGTCATACGACATGATGTCATACAGCACATAATGTCATATAGCACATGATGTCACACAGCACATTATGTCATACGGCACATTATGTCATACAACACTTAATGTCATACGACATGATGTCATAGGGGTTGGGGTAGATGCAGGTGCAGGGGTAGGGTTCGGGTAGATGCAGTCATAGGGGTAGGGTTGGGGTAGTAGCTGCAGGTGTAGGGGTAGGGTTGGGGTAGGTGTAGGGGTAGGGATTGGGGTAGATGCAGTTGTAGGTAGGGGTTGGGGGTAGATGCAGGTGTAGGGTTAGATGCAAGTGTAGGGGTAGGGGGTTGGGGTAGATGCAGGTGTAGGGGTAGGGGTTGGGGAAGATGCAGGTGTATGGGTAGGAGTTGGGGTAGATGCAGGTGTAGGGGGTAGGAGTTGGGGTAGATGCAGGTGTAGGGTAGGGGTTGGGGTAGATGCAGGTGAAGGGGGTAGGGGTTGGGGTAGATGCAAGTGTAGGGGTAGGAGTTGGGGTAGATGTAGGGGTAGTTGGGGTAGATTCAGGTGTAGGGGAGGGTTGGGGTAGATGCAGGTGTAGGGGTAGGGGTTGGGGTAGATGCAGGTGTAGGGGTAATGGTTGGGGTAGATGCAGATGTAGAGGTAGGGGTTGGGGGTAGATGCAGATGTAGAGGTAGGGTTTGGGGTAGATGCAGGTGTAGGGGGTAGGGTTAGATGCAGGTGTAGGGGTAGGGGTTGGGGTAGATGCAGATGTAGAGGTGTGGGGGTTGGGGTAGATGCAAGTGTAGGGGTAGGGGTTGGTGTAGATGCAGGTGTAGGGGGTAGGGGTTGGGGTAGATGCAGGTGTAGGGGTAATGGTTGGGGTAGATGCAGATGTAGAGGTAGGGGTTGGGGTAGATGCAGATGTAGAGGTAGGGTTTGGGGTAGATGCAGGTGTAGGGGTAGGGTTAGATGCAGGTGTAGGGGGTAGGGGTTGGGAGTAGATGCAGATGTAGAGGTAGGGGTTGGGGGTAGATGCAAGTGTAGGGGTAGGGGTTGGTGTAGATGCAGGTGTAGGGGTAGGGGTTGGGGGTAGATGCAGGTGTAGGGGTAGGGGTTGGGGTGCGGATAGGTGTAGGTGTAGGGGTTGGGGTAGATGCAGATGTAGAGGTAGGGGTTGGGGTAGATGCAAGTGTAGGGGTAGGGGTAGGGGTAGATGCAGATGTCAGAGGTAGGGGTTGGGGTAGATGCAAGTGTAGGGGTAGGGGTTGGTGTAGATGCAGGTGTAGGGGTAGGGGTTGGGGTAGATGCAGGTGTAGGGGTAGGGGTTGGGGTGCGGATAGGTGTAGGTGTAGGGGTTGGGGTAGATGCAGATGTAGAGGTAGGGGTTTGGGGGTAGATGCAAGTGTAGGGGTAGGGGAGGGTAGGGGTAGATGCAGATGTCGAGGTAGGGGTTGGGGTAGATGCAAGTGTAGGGGGTAGGGTTGGGGTAGATGCAGGTGTAGGGGGTAGGGGGTTAGGGGTAGATGCAGGTGTAGGGGTAGGGTTTTGGGGTAGATGCAGGTGTATGGGTAGGGGCTGAGTAGATGCAGGTGTAGGGGTAGGAGTAGGGGTTGGGGTTGTGATAGAGGTAGGGGTTGAGGTTGTGATAGGGGTAGGGGTAGGGGTTGTGATAGGGTTGGGGTTGTGATAGGGGTAGGGGTTGGAGTTGTGATAGGGATAAGGGTAGGGGTTCGGGTTGTGATAGGGGTTGGGGTAGAGACCAGGGTTGGGATAGGGGTAAGTTGTAGTTGTAATGGTGGAGGTACGTGTAATGGTAGCAGTAGTTATTGGTATAGGCATCTGATGGTGACCTCACACAACAGTAACATGACAACGAACGCAGAAATATACAAAAGATGATAGTTGCAGCCATATTAGATATGAAAGGACGGTACAGCGGAACGGCGGTACTCAATCAATGTGTACTCACCCAGTTAGGATTGATCGTGTTCCGTTTGGGGCAACGTAAGTTGGTGTGCAGAGAGACAGATATCGAAATACATGGGCAGACTGCCAAATATGGTCATACCGTTACAGGCGATCAAATCAGACAGATAGACAAAGAGATAAAAACAAACAAAGGCAAACATGCCGACAGGCACACACACTCACAGACATGGGGGTCACACGGATATTGCCAGCCTGTAGGCGGTGACTAGCAGTATCACAGTGCCTTAACACAAGTGGTATAATTTAACCATCAGAAATATATATGATCATCGTAAAGTTTGTCTCAAAGTGTATATTCATAACTGGGAAACAAGTCTATTGAAAGTAGGAAATAGCACGTGCAATCACTGTTCAGATTGAGGGGCGATTGAAGGGTAGATTGCCAACAACTGCGGTGAAGAGAAAGGGTCTAATATATGTGTTTTAGAGGCAAGATCTGATAACACACACACACACACACACCCGTACGCAGTTCCACTTTGATCAATGTCAAGCTCACCATTTTGACAAAACAGTATTATTTAGAGCTCCAGGGATACAGTAAACTATGCTTATAGCGAACTACGGTCATAACGAACTCAATTTAGTGACTCAATTAGCTGAAAGTGTACTTTACTGCATTGTATGCTCTATATTGTAACGGTACATGGTCATGACTGACAGAGTTTTTAACATCATTGATTTTTTAACTTCATGCATTCAGTGATGAAGAAAGGCTAGTTATGTTTGAAAATATCTCGCAAGATTGGTAGAATGATTAAGAAAATGAACGTATATGTATGCTGTCTTTCAACTGCTCTTTGTGCTGCCTTTTATACCGTTTGTCACAAAAGTCTTCAGCAGCTGAGATCAGAACGGCCAGGAAACGAGATCTTCAAGGATGGTACAGAAAACAGATCCATCTTACCAGTTGCCCGACATTAAACTTTGTTGAGAGGGTGGCTGGGTGGGTTAGTTGGCTGACTTTGTGGGCTGGCGATTAGT